ACAGAGCTGCTGGTGGTTTCGAACCCAGGACGTTTTGGTTAGCAGCTGAATGCTTTAACCAGAACTCCTTTAAAACAGTATTTAAAAAAAAAAAAAAAAAAAAAACACCTCCCTGCTATTGAGTCGATTCCAACTCCTAGCGACCCCCACTGGGTTTCCAAGGCTGTTAATCTTTATGGAAGTAGACTGCCCCATCTTCCTTCCATAGAGAAGCTGGTGGGTTTAAACTGTTGACCTTCTGGTTAGCAACCAAATGCCTTATCCACTATGCCATCAGACCTCCTTATCAAGACAGTATGTTGTTGTTGTTGTTATTTGCCATCCAGTTGGACCAGACTCATAGTGACCCCTCCTTGGGTTTCCAAGGCATCATCACTATGGAAGTGGATTGCCCAACCTTCTTTCCAAGGAGTGGCTGGTGGGTTTTTGAACCTCCAGCCTTCTGGTTAGCAGTTAAGTGCCTTAGGCATTAGGCTACCAGAGCTCCTTTCAAGATAGTATGTTGTTGTTGTTGTTATGTGCCCTCAAGTCAGACCTGACTCATAGAGACCCCTGAGGCAATATCACTAGGAAGTAGATTGCCCCATCTTCCTTCCTAGGAGTGGGTGGCGGGTTTGAACCACCAGCCTTCTGGTTAGCAGTCAAGTGCCCTTAGGCACTATGCTACCAGAGCTCCTAGAGACAGTATGTTGTTGTTGTTGTTATATGCCGTCGAGTCGAGTAGGCCCTATTTTAGTTACCACCAGATGGCACCAATCAGAACAGTCAATCTCTACCTGTCATCATGAGACAATATGAGAAAACTCTAGGAAGATGTTTCTGCCATTCCTTCTTTAGACAAACACGTTTGCACACTTTTAAGTATTGTGGTAGCTGGTATGTGGTTATGAACAAGACCTGTTGTCTTTATGGAATTGATACTCGTAAGCACCTACCATGTGCCTGTGAGATCATCTTAGGCAGCGGTAGGGGTGGGTGGGAAGATTTTTTGGTTATTGATCGTCTCCCTGTCCTTGGCTGTGAATCCATGATAACAATTACTTAATGTTTACTTTGGGTCAGATGGTGTGCTGATTGTTGAGGATATAGAGATGAATAAGACATATTTGCAGCCTACTAATAAACAATGCCTTTCCTGCTAGGATTAAAAAGGTATGAGACCAATCCTGTGGAACCCCAGTTCCTCTGACCTGAGTTAACAGCTTGTTAACACACTAGTCTGTGAGCTTCTAGATGGATTTACCATCTACCTGACTTGGGGCCATGCCCACAGTGGATACTTACTATATGAGTTTGTGAGTTGATTTGAGCCTTGAGAGCAGCTTGTGGTCTGGGTGCCAGGTGTATATCCCAGTGAGTAAGGCCAAGGGATCCACCATCCTCTGGGTCAGGGTGGTGCCATTACAAGTTTATGTGGGTGAAATGTTTTGAAGATGAACTTCCTACCTATTTGTCTACTCACAGCTTTGTTATTAAAGGTGTCAACATCACCTCCCACGTTTCTAGGTCAGCAATTTTCTTGTCCTTAAAATGAGTGGTGGGGGGAAGGGAGCCAGCACCAGTCGCAAGCCATCATTTTCAAGGGAGGGGCTGCTCTGACTAAGACACCCCTTCTCCCTTGGAAACTCTAATTCCATTGGAGTTTGGGCTCAAGTCAGAGATGTCATCTTTAAGAGAACAAAAAATGAAGGAATTTCTTAAGTGTTGACTGCACATAGTGACTTTTTTTTTTTTTTTCCCAAAGAGTATAGTATGGAAAGGGGAAAGAATAACTTTATGGTGATCTGACAAACACTACCTTACTCAGGTGACTCAACATTAATAATGTTATTAATATGTTCCCTTGATATGTGAAAATGACACTGTATCTTTCTCCCCAAAACCCTGAACTCTGTTCTATCATGAGGAAAACATCAGACAAATCCAAAACCTGATGAGTACTCCTCAGAACTGTCAAGGTCATCACATACAAGGAAAGTCTGAGAAACTGACATACCCCTGAGGAGCTTCAGGAGACATGGTGACTAACTGTAATGTGATACCCTGAATGGGATCCTGGAATATGACATTAGCTCCAGTGGGCCAGGAGCAGGAGGCAGAGCTGGACCCCAAGGTTGAGGGGCTTTCACCCAGCCCCTAGAGCTTGGCACTTTGAACTTGGACTTAAAGCCTCCAAATTGTAAGAATAAACTCCTGTTTGTTAAGGCCATCCCATTTGTGGTGTTTTCTTGTCAGAGCGGCACTAGGTAACCAGAACAATAATATTAAGAGTTCTTCCTTGTAGGCATACAGGTATTATCTTATCACTGACAGCATTGTACTTCAAGATAGATCTCAAAACATTCTTTGTGACAATGAATGTGCCATTCCTCCTCAATATGGTTGTCTGATTCAAAATGGCCAAAACTGGTCCATTTCAGCTCATTAAAGCCACTCCTCGGAAGGAAGATGGGGCAATCTACTTCCGTAGTGATACTGCCTCGGCAACCCAAGGAGGGGTCACTATGAGTTGGGTCCAACTCAAGGACAGGTCAACAACAAAGGCTGGGATATTGAAATGGGTTCCATTTCATTTTTGACAACTTCTAATTTTTCTAGATTCATACTTCATACATTCCATGTTCTGACTATTAATGGATGTTTGCAGCTGTTTCTTCCCATTTTGAGTTCTGCCACATCAGCATATGAAGGTCCCAAAAGCTTTACTCCATCTTTGTCATTAAGGTTGACTCTACTTTGAGGAGGCAGCCGTATTTTGAGTGCCTTCCTACTGGAGGGGCTCATCTTCTGGCACTATATTGGACAACGTTTCAGAGCTATTCATAATGTTTTCCAGTAATATATATGACAGTGTTTTACTGCTATTCATAAGGTTTTCACTGGCCAGTCCTTTGAGAAGTGGATGGTTCCTTCCTTCTTCCGAGTCTGTCTTAGTCTGGAAGCTCCGCTGAAACCTATCCACCATGGGTGATCTTACTGGTATTTGAAATACTGGTGGCATAGCCTCCAGCCTCACAGCAATGCTCAAGCCACCACAGTAGGAAAAACTGACAGACAAGTGGGGGCTGTAAATCTAACGCTATTAAGTATATTAAACAAACAAACCAAAGGGCATGGTGTCCGGAATACAGCTATTCCTTAAAAAAAATTATTTCTTTGAAGCTCATATTTATGGCTTGGAGCCCTGGTGACACAGTGGTTAAGTACTTGACAGTTAACCAAAAGGTCAAGGCCTCAAACCTGCTCTGTTGCTGGCCTGCAGAGGACTGGAGATCTTTGGAGGAGGGCTGCAAAGGCCACAGGTTCGGGTTGGTTCATAGTGGGAGAAAGAAAGACAGAGGCAGTATGCTTCTGTAAAGATTACAGCCTTGGAAATCCTATAGGCCAGTTCTACTCTGCAGGTTCACCGTGTCTAGTGGACTTGATGACAATGGGTTCTTTCATTTATAGATCATTTAATACATGCCAATTACTACGCTGTGCATAGATGGTGCCATTTAATCATAACAATTGCTTGTGTTGGGTATAATTAACCCCCTTTACAAAAGCAGATGACACAGGGAGAGGTAATGTAATGTAAATGGTGGAGTCAGAGTTGGAACAAAGATCTTTCAGATCTCCAAATTGTGCCTGGCTTTTCTAGCAAATGTTTAGGCAGTTATCATAGGGAGTGCGTTTCTAAGAGAACGGGGTATTCTAAAATGAGGGAACTAAAGACTGTCTCCACTTCTGTCATGATTGTCTCAAAAGTCCTTCTGTTGCTGGCTGAACCTTCAAGCTGAAAGGACCTGTAGAAGTCAAAGTCCAACCATGGCGCTTCATTTTACGAACGAGTAACCAGGGATAGCGAGAGCACTTGCTTCGAATCATGCAGGGAAGAGCCAGGAGCCCAGCTTAAGTCTCGGTCTTTACTTCTCCCCTCCTTCCTCTTTGTACTTAAGGAAGTAGGAACGGGCCCATCTCCCTTCCCCATTTCTCAGATGGGGAAATAACAGCGCCCCCTCACCCCGCTTGGGTCACTTGCCCAAGGACACCCTGGCATGAGGGCGGACCTCCAGAAGAGATGTCGGGAAGGCTCGTTCCCACCTCACAAGAACTGTACTCTCAGCACATTATTATTAAACCCCTACTGGATGTAGTGCCCGCAGACTGGGTGTCACGAGGAGGGGCCTGCAGAGGACCTTTGGAGGAGAGCTGCGGAGGCCGCAGGATTGCATTGGTTCATAGCGGGAGGAGGTCACGGACAGTTCTAAGAATTGAGGTTCCACCGAGGGTGTGCCTTTAGGATCGCAGCGTGGAGCCTCACGACCGCCACTTTGGGGTCAAGACTGTCTCCTGCGGCCACCTTCCGCTCCCATAGCTGCTTGGCCCTTTAAGAGCGGGGAACACGCGCCGACGTCACAAAACACCGCCACCTCGCGGGGCAGCCAAGAAGAGGCGGGGAAATGGGAGGAGGAGGAGAAGGAGGAGGGAGGGGTGCGCGCACGCGCCTGGGGCTGTCCGCCGGTGAGAGCCGCCCCCCCTTCGCGGCGCGCGCCCCTCCTCCCTCCCTCCCTCCCTTCTTCTTCTCGGCTCCGTCGCTCCCGCGGCGCTTGGCGCTCTCGCTCTTCTCCTCTGCCGTCGCCCCTCCCCCCGCAGAGCCGCCACTACCGCTGCCGGGAGACCCCCGCGCGCCGCGCTCCCCCTCCCCCTCCGGCCCCGCGCGCCCTCCGGCCCCGGCGGCCCTAGAGAAGAACGAGAGGGCGAGCGAGCGCGG